GGGGGTCGGGGAGCGTGGGAGGGTGCGCGGGGTGGTGCAGCCCGTCGCCATGGCAACCGCCCCCGCCTAATCAATTGCAGAAATATGTACGAGCCATCACCAGCGTAACCAGGCCCCGCACTTCCCAACCACACCGGCCACATGTTAGATCGTTTCTCTGATAGGGATTGACATATTATCTTATATTGTTCTACTTATTCTCCTACACAGTGTCATATTACTGTAAAATGATAAACTATAATTTTATTTTATGCGAAGCACAACTTCTGGTGCTTGTGATGGAAGTGTGTGTTGAACTATTTTGCGAGAAAACTCTGTAATTTTTTTTATGCTGTTTTAATACATGCGTAGAATTCTAAAATATTTTTTATATAAATACTATAGTACATTACGAATAAAATCTACTAGACCCAAAAAGTTGTGTTGAGCTTAACGAGGCAAAGGCGAGAGAGATTTCGGTGGTAAATTTAACAAAGGACAAACAAATAAACAATGACTAAGAACGATTACGAAAATCGTTGCGAGCACTGAGCACGACGCAAATCGCAAAGGTCAATGCAAAGTGGACGATACATTCGGCTCTTCACGCTCGAAAGCGTGAAATAGAAGTATACCGTAACTGTTGCTACGCTACAGTATCAAAATGTAGCCACATTTTAAAAAGATTTACTTTTAAAATTTAAAGCAGTAGTTTTTTAATGTATATTAATATACTGTTACTACGTGACTCTTTGTAATAATAAAATACATAATTAAAAAAATTAAATATTTTTATTGTTTTTTTTTTTTATTTTGCATAACACGTTCTTAATTATATTGCTGGGTTGCTACGAAAAGTTGTTGTTGATGATAGAAGATTAGACTACTTCATACACTTAAAAAAACAGTAAAATTTACGATTAGACGGTCATCTGTTGGATGCAGCAAAGGTTTAATTAACCATATTTAACAACAACATCGTTTTCGTGTAATCGAATTAATAAGAGAAGATTTTTTTAAATAAAACGAATATAGATAATACATATTATACTTAATTCTATGTATTCTGTAAAAATCATAATGATTCACACAATATCACCACAATTATTGTAAAACTCCTATAACCTATCCCGTGGGAATCCTTTTAATCCCCTTCAAAAAGTAGCCTGTATCCATCTTCAAATATCTACTCGTATAATCCAATTGTTTCATAGAAATCGGTTAACTAAAAGGGGAAATATCAAATAAATCATGGTTTTTTACATATGCCATTTTTGACGTATTTTTTTTTAAATTAGGGTATTGCTTATATGTACCTATATACATATCTATTTGTTTAAGATTTAATACTAATTTTTCCGCTTACATAATAAACTAAACGTTTCACTGCTACTTTCCTTCTCGTTCTCTGCGTTTCAATTTTTTACTTATTGTTTTATTTTAAATTAAACATACATAATATAAAAAAACTTTGATAGTAATATTAAAGTAATTTTTGTGGTGCTATTATTTAATGAGAATGTTTGGAAGTTTAAGTGAGGAAGTAGAAGAAATTTTGAAAAATAATGGTGTGGGAATGGAATCTCCGACACCTCACAAAAGGTCAAACGCAGTGATATAAAAGCCGGTAAAGCACCCGATGAGTTGTGTCGTCGTGCATCGAAATCTTATGAAAAAATTAGTGACGAGGCCCGGAATCAAACTGAACTAATATTATGAACCAGCTCGCGTCGATTATAACCGAATAATATATTTTTATACGGGCTCATTGAAATTGTACTAATCAAATAAAAACTTATAGAAAACGTCCTTGGAGAGAAATTTCAGAAACTCTCCATTGCAAATATGCAAACTTACCTTTATATTTTCGCTATAAACTAAGTGAATAGGTATTATAAACTATTAGTTATATTATTAACTACGTACCGTCTGTGTGTTTCTATAGAGGTCCAATCACATCATAAACTCCATCAGGATTCTTGTGACGATGTAGAGCAGTCTCTTAAATATACGCTGAAATATTAAAAATAAAATTAATTAATGCAGTGGTTTGGCACAAGAACTACGTGTCGAACTAATACATATTGAGAGTTATGATAGTATGTTAATTTAATATCGTTTTACCGTTTGTATGTATGTATATGCAACGCGGTATTGACTTGTTGAAACTGGGAATTTACATATATATATATATATATGAAATCTTTCATAACTTGTATAAATAGTTTGAATTTGGGCTTATTTGGTTTGAATAGCTCAATTATGTTAAAGCTGGATTTTAGTACCTGATTTTTAGTCTTACTAATAGAAGTGTTTGTAAGCCCGTGACGCAAAAAGAGGGGTGTAATAAGTTTGACATTGATGTCTCTGTGTGTGTTTGTGTGTGTGTGTGTCTGTCTGGTTCTGTGGCATCGTATCTCCCAAACGAATGAACCGATTTCGATGCGAGTTTTTTTCATTTTAAAGCCACTTTCCTAGTCTAGCGGTGGTTCTTAGCTATGTTTGGTTAATATCAGTCCAGCAGTGTAAGAGTATCAGCTCTTTTCCAAAATGATGTCAGGCATTTTGGCATATGATTACTCAATTAAGTACTTCATGCGTGCCAGTGTAATCCTTAAATGACAATTAGTTTGAGTAGGGGATTTTTAAATTTTTAATTTATAATTATTTTTTATTTGTTAGTCTTCATATAAAATGTGGCAGCATACTATGCAGATGTATGCTAATAAATGGCTTAATGGTAAATGGTTAGGTGTCTATAGTAAATAAAAACCCTCTTTTAGTTATTTTTTACTTTTTAGAGTCTGGAAGTCGGTTTTAATTTATTTTTAAAAAGTTTTATCTCTAAATATATATTTAATCATATTATAATGCACTTACAAAAGATATATGTATATACAATACATGAAACCCCTAAATCTTTAAATTGTCAATAATGTTTTGTAACCTTGTTATGATCATTTCCAATTTAAAGCATATTTATCGTCCATTCCATTTATTTATATTTATAATATGTATGTATTTAAAGTCATATGTGTATTTCATCAACTATAAGGTATCCATAACACAAGCCTCGTAGCTTACCGTGGAAATAGATGGTGCTGTGTGTTAATGTCCCAATATTATTATCCCAATATTATTCATTTATTTAATAATCCGTCACCAATTAAACCATTTTGTCGATACTCCTGCGTAGCAACTTTGTTTTTATATTCTTCAAATTAAGTAATATATATATATATATATATATATATATATATATATATATATATATATATATATATCACGACCTACTTACGTACTGTAGATATTTACCTTCTTAATTTAAGTATGAATGTAGACAAACACTTTTGGATGGAAAAAATTTCCGACTTGTAACCTGCAAATAAAATACTTTTATTTGAATCGAAGACGAATAGGGAAAGACTCATCTTCATTGTTGCGCATATGTGATCTGATGTACATAATATATGTAAATTTGTTGTAGATTTGACTATGATATTGTATACCCATTAATATACCTATAAATAAAGCTACGAAAGAAAGAAAATGGACTCTAATTGTGTGTACTGGTAATATGATACAATTATATTTGATACTAGTTTTTAAAAACAAATATCTCGTACTTAATGATAGAAAAAGTATTATATATAGCAATTAGCCTATAATTACCAAACTACCCGCCATTGTAAGTCTCCTTAAGACGTATCAAGGGATTTTCCTTTTTAAATAAAACTATCTTTTCGGATTTTTTCGTGGATTTATTTGGATTATTTTTTTTGGTTCCCGACGTTTCGAATGCTTTACAGCAATCATGGTCACGGGAGAGACTGAGGTGTTACATGTCTTGAAGGTATAGTTGTTACAGACAGCCTACCCACAAATAACAAAATGAAAATTGCACCAATCACCTTACAATATTTTTAACTTTAAACATTTTTATAATTTTAATTAGTTTTATAATTGAATATGGAATATTATTTATTTAATTTTGGCTGTTATTATTATAATTATTACAATTTCAAAAATATTAATTAGTAATCTATATTTAGTGTTGCCATTATTATATTTATAACCTTAAAGAAAAATATAAAATATATAATTAATTATTTAAGCCATATAATTGTTCTATGTGTCATTTAAAAAGTTAAAATTAATTCAGGATAATAATTTTAATTTTGTTTGCTATTATTTAAAAAGACAAATTATTACTAAACAACACTATTACTATATACTTTTACAAAGGAAAAATGAAAAATATTAATCTGAAATGCTGTCATTTTAATACACAAGAAAAACTTCGAAAAGATAGTTTTATGTAAAATGTCAAATATTCGCATAAATCTAAGAAAGTATTATGATTTTCCTTTGTTTTTCTCTAAGAATCCCACACCTGTTTCGAACTAGTTAAATGAGCATGTACCAACAAACAAACAGACAATAACTCTACAGTATTGGGAACCCTTTTTCATATATAGGCCTCACTCACATTCTCCTATGGGCTGAACGTATATTTTTGAAGAAACAAAATATGTATTTTTCCATTTGTTTAAACACTGTTCCAGTTATGTTAAGAGAAAAATGGTTATTTTAAAATTTGAAACATATCTTATGTCGTGAATTTGTTATATTTTACATATAGTATTGTATGCCTTGTATTCGATTTAATACGCATCTCGCGTCCTGGTCCACGCCGCGCGGCTCGCACCGCCACGCAACACCACCCGCACCTGCCGCTGAAGCCTGCCATTAACATTGTTTATCGCCGCACTATTAATCGCTGGCTCCGACAAATGGCCCGTAAAACTAATTATAAGCTGACTACATCAAATATTCTCCGTACGTTCATATTCTACACCCCTAATCTCCCCCTAAAAATAACTCTAAAAGGCTCGTACACTCCATTATGTGATTTAAAAATCATATTCAAAAACGCCGTTAGAATCAAACAAGCGTGTCCGCTATTCTATTACAGCCCCTTGCCGGAATAAATTCCATCGAAGCGCAATAATAATAAAAAAATGTCGAGAGCTTGTCGCGTGCAAAAGACGTGCGGTCACGCGGGCCCTCCCCCTCCCCCTCCCCCACCCCGCGCGCCCTGCTCCCGTCGCCTCCGCCGGTGACCCTCGAGCCTCCCCCGCAAGAATATAATATGCATTATGCGAAATCCGTAACTCTTATGTTGAGTCTGGCGAATACCTTACACATATGATCTACGTTTGAATTTCAACTTTATTATTTGTCAAATAAAGTTCAAAATACTTTGATATGTATGGCTAATAAGATCTTCAGCTTCTGAAAGCTCGTGCGGTTTCCTTAGGGCGGGCGAGGCCTGCACTCTCGAGATAACGCCGGGTATTAATCATAGTATTATCGGCCGGTGGCGGAGTCTTTGTTATGACACCGCGCTATTGCAGTTTTTTCTCTATCTACCCTCGAGCACGCGATAAACGACCTGAGAGTGAATTTTCCGAGACAGATGTTTTAGTAATCCGAGCAGATATCATCGACGAAGCGCCAATAAAACTTTCAATATTATTATTATGCTCACGATGGGGTCGCTATCTGACCCGTCTTGTATTAAGACATAATACGCAAAAACATTTACATACGCAATGAAATAATAATATTCGTATCTATTAAGTTTACATTATAATATATACATACTGGTTCTTACATTATTATAAAGAAATATTTATTCCAAACATAAAAAACGTGCTTAGAAATATTTTGTAATAATATACATATATAAAATGGAAAGCTGTCCGCGCATCATCACTCTTGTTGGATGTCTATCATTAAGTCACGTCATATTTTAGTCACTGAAAGCATTGAATAGGATATTTTCCGGTGATTTTTTCCAAAGGGCTGAGATGACTGGCTCAATTGAAGCTTACATATCTTCAGGAGCGGGGCCCAGTGAGAAGCGCTTGTCCGGCGGGACCGGGGGAGACGCAACAATTTGTGTATGATTAATGGCAGCGAGCGGCGTCGGCGAAATGGCCGGAAATCTCAGCGCCTCCTGAGACCGCTTCAGACTATAAAACTTGAACACTGCTAAACAAACTTGGCAGCGTAACAACGTTTACGATATCAGCACGTCGCGTCGTGTAAAGACGATAAAAATACAGGCGTGATTGAGAAATTATGACACAAGTATAAATAAAAAAATTATGATAACCAATTCAATTATCTTGAATGCAAACTGCCGTAACGTGCAAACTGCAGCATACATTTAAATACTTTGTGTACGGTACGAAAATATCTGCATAGGAGTGAGGGACAAACATTAAACTCGACTTCTGGTATGAGTGTAATGGTAATGTAAGCCGCAGTACCTGCACACATGGCATCAGGCTTGGACATTCCCGTCGGTCTGAGGAGGGTAATAAGAGGCGAGAGATCGTTCGAGGTCATTTATTACCGATAGCTGGCTGCGAAATGTTCGTTTCTCCGTACTTAGCGACAATGGAAATGGCTAAAACTTCCCAATCCAATCTTAGGCGCACACAGAGGTGAGGGTAGTTAACTTCTACATGCGAAGTCGGTGGTGTGTGTGTGTGGAGGATCATTTTTCACGTTTCATGAAGCGCTCTGGCGCGGGGCAGTGGATTAAAATACATTTCGCTTGTCGCCGGTGATGGATGGCTCCGGACCCCTCGGAAAGGGTTGCCTTCGTACCCCTTACTTACTTTCCCACCCCGTTTCTTACCCACTTGAGCGAAATATCCAAGACAATGAAAATGAGAATATATGAATGTTGAATCTTGAAAATAGTCTTTAGAATTTTCATGTATTATTTATAATTGAGGAATATTAGCACTTGTGTCATATCCGAGACTATTTGTTTTTTGTTCGATTATGTAGGTCGCTCTGATTTATGTAAGTACAGTAAGTAACTGGACACTGATCAGAGTAAACATTTGAACAGGGCTAAGTGAAAGTCAATATGGCAAAAAACTTTCGGATTATTTACGTTGTATGGTGTTTTCTTAAAAAGAGGAGCTGCTTTCGAAGTTTATCTATGAAATGTTTTGCCAACTTCAAGTCGATAGCAATCGAAGGATGGATAGGGAATGCGATAACTAAACATATTTTATCAAAAAAGCTGTTTATAAAGTTTTTGTTAAAGTCAAAGACATACATATAATGTTATAAAAAAATATTCATATGTTTTATTCATTTTCCTCATAGCTAAATAAAATAGGAGCGGTACGAAGAAGGACGACTAATAAAATGAGTACATAATGTGTAGTTAGATACAATATTGACAATGTGTAACAAGTAGCGGCGGCGCGGCGCGGCGCGGGTACTGAGTGTAGTGACATCGGCCGGATATTTCATTTCCGACGAGTGCATTAGCGACGTTTAATACCGCGATTGTCAGACGCATTATTGATACCCATTAATAAAGAAAATTATATACTTTACTCGACAAGTTAGTCTCGGTCTCTATATTTATTTGACTTTCCAGAAAATGTATTGTTCTTATTTTGCTGTGTTTATACGTTCCGTTTTGTTGTTTTATATACAAATATTGTAAAGGAAAACTTTTGTAAAACATAATATACAGAATTCTAATCTGCATTGTTTTGTTCGTTCATTTACAAAAATATACGAAATTAAATAACTAATATATCTACAGTGAAAGCTCTATTTAGTAATCGACATTTTTAGTAAAACTGAAGCTTACGCCGCACTTGTACATAAAATGCCTCTTAGGTTTCAAATAGTAAGTAGTGAACATATCAGTGATATACAAAAGAAAAAACCAAAATTGAAATTGAGTGACATAAAAGCGATATACCTAAGAATGGATACCGTTACCATTTGTTTACAGCCACGTCACCTCGTTAAGCAAAGTGAAGGAGCCCAGTGGCATGTACCTACATACATACATACATACATATATACGTAGCGCGGTGTACAGAGCGCGGCCGCCACGACCCGATCTTACACATTAGCTGATTGCGCAAACATCAGCGGTATTTGCAGACCGCACCCGCGGCTTTAAGCTGGCTTTACACTACTCTACGTGGCTGAATCTTGAAAACCATATTTAATTGCAATACTGCATACACGTTTTATCTTAAAGTGAGTCGTAATTCGCATTTTATAATACTTATATTCATTATGATTGAAAAAGAGTAAAAACATATACCTACTTGTATTTACTTGTTTTCATTACTAAAAATATTAGTTTTTGTATATATATCTCAGGATACAAATAGCAGAAGATACGAAGTAAAGTAGTCTTTCATTAATCTGCTTGCCGAAGAAAAGTAATCTATAGATCGTTAACGATTTGCCTGATTAAATATTAATTTAGATCCGTTAATGCTTATTCATATTTTTCTAATTCAAAATATTTTATTCAGCATTAAATTATTACAATTTTTACTGAACATCATGATTCTTCTACTTAAAGTTATTAAAACTTACTAATTTCTAACATTAAAATTAAATGTTGTAAATACTTAATGAACGTGTACTAGTTAAAACTTAGAGTACCTACAGTGAGTGATGCGGCGACATGTACGCCCACCTTAACAGCGCACCCATTGTTACGTTCTGATGTTAGCGCGTGCTCATGTTGATTTTGTCACAACGCGTTGATGGAAAGCAGGAAATTAGTTAAATTGCGATCACAAACACGTCACAACCACAAAAGAAGCTATAAATTTTGACACAAACCGTGATGTCACAAAAACGCTCTACAATAGCGCCAGGTGCGAGAGCTTAACAAATATACGATTGTTACAGTAGAAACATCGTAGTAAAAAACGCGTCAAATGGGTCGCGTGCTAGCATCTAACTAAAAAACCAGCTGCAATCAAAAAAGGGTTGCAGAAGGGTTGATCTTCCCCTATCACATGAAACCGCCACGCGTAAGCACCCTTTTGCAAGCGCCAATAAAAAACTATGGCCCGTGCATGCGCGGTGAGATTTTAAAGTGATTTGAATATAACATTTACATAGTAGGTCGGTAGCGTCGCCGCCATTGGCTCATTTGCGTACTGGCTGCGCTCTGCGCGCGCTTCCGTCTGTCCGCGGCGGCTTGATTCGCTAACTCGATGTAATATGATTTGGCACGTGTATGTAAATTAGGTAGCAAACTAAAATTTGCATAATATATGTATTATAAGTTTCGCCGAACCCTACGAGTGTTGTAATACTTTGAACTTATAACTTCATTTCAAAATGATATTAGTCATTCATTCGTATATAAAATATCTATCTAATAGTTACTTAATATTACTATGAAATAATCATCTAGTTGAGTGATAGCAATTGCAGAGATTGCCAAATACTTCTTGTATTGAGACATTAAGTATTTAATAAGGATTTAATTTAAAAAGAACCCTCGTAAAACAAAATTTGTTTTTTCTTTGGAATCCAATTATGTGATAGCACATACCTACATATGTACTCCGACTGACTATGTACGAGTCTGGCCCACGGCAAACATCTCGAAATCTTTATTTTAGAAATTGTAGAGGAAAACGTCATTAGGGGAGCGTCCCTTTGTAGTACAATCAGTGTAGCCGGGCGATGTAGCCGGGCGATGTAAGCGGCCTGTAGCCATGTAGCGTGTAGAGCGCCCTCATTATCGAATTGTTTAAAATAACGAGGGTTTGTCCTACTAGTTAGCGAGCGGCTCGTCAGCTCCACCGAGCTCGCTACAAAAAACATCTCGTTAGGAACTTGCTGTTTTGTTGTAACGGTAACGGCAATTACACGAAAGGTCTATTTATTATTCTTAATTTCTTTTCGACATGCAATTAAACGCAAACAGCTACTTTAAACTTATGTTACAACTTACAAGAGATACATAGCCATTATAAATTAAAACATTCATAAAAAAAAGTATCTCTTAATTTTTTAACATATTAAATTCAATTTATATAAATATAATTTTAAAATATAATCAGTAACAACTTCACAAATAAGTTATAATTCTAAAGAGAGAGATGGAACACTGCGTCCATAAATATCGATCTTTATACCAATTAGCGATAAAAACGATGCAGCGGAATCTAATTGATATACAGGCAAAAACCAACAAGACGATAATGATAGTGTTTTAAATTTAAACAACAAAAGCACGCCACGCCATGAATATTCATACGAGTCCGTAATGACTTAATCACAATTCAAAAGACGTTCTCATCAATATTTAATGGTTGGAGGCTATCCGAGATTAGACAGCTTCGCATTTTATATACAACATGCCTAATACCAGTCTAGCTGTTATGAAACGTAAAGAATAGACACATGTACATACATGTATATGTTCAGATACTAGCAAGCCCAATAGAAATACCGATGAATGAGATACGGACGTCGTTAGCAGCCGTGTTTACATGGTCGAAAGCTCGCGAAAAACGCTCCATTTGATAATTAAATTGTTCCAAGGGTCCATGGGGGGAAAGCAAACTTGCACAGCAAACAGTGCCACCGAGACCAACCAACTTTTTAGAATTACTCTCTAAAATTGGTTGACAATTGAATAAAGCTTCATGTACAAATAGACTGTATTTCTTATTTATTTATCTAGCAGTTGCTAATTAATATTATACTTAAGTACTAAATAGGTACCTGCGATACGAAATCAATAATTTGAGATAACCAGGGTAGCGTGTATTAAATATTCTATAGAAGTTTTTCAACTAGCGCACGTACTCGGTACCTGTGCCGGGCCGTGGGTCGCGTACAATGGGGTACTCCGCCCCGCAGACGCACGCGATCTGCGTCTATTTACCACATCTATACTATATTATAATAAAATTCTGAGTCGAATCTGTACATTACATATTTTTTTGGAAAATCTTATAAAAATAGTTTTTAATATCGATATAGAGGCCGAATCTGTAGTTTTTAGAACTTTTGTCTGTCTGTCTGGGAACGTATCAGGAGAAAACCAATGGACAGATTTTAATGAAATTTGGTACAATGACAGCTGGTTATT